CTAAGTGCTCTTGTCTCCTTCTTTCTCTGCTGTAATGCATGCAACGTTGACACTGAAATTTCCCCACTGTGGGACGAATAAAGGGAATATCTTATCCTATCTAAATTATGTTTAAGAGGCAGGTGAAAATCAGTGCAGTACTTGGCAGAAGTTGGTGAACGATATAATGTTCCAGTATACATATGTTAATGATGCGCTTGTGGTGATTTGGACTGCAACGCTTTTTTTTCCCCCCTCTTGGACCCCAAAAAATGTGTGTGATCCAGCTGGTGAACCCCACTGCTGAAGGTTGAGGTAGGCCGATCCACCAATGCCGCTGGTGCAACCCGTCAGGAGCAGAGCAGCATCTGGGAACCCTCTCCAGATGTGGAGGCTCTTTGTCCGGATTTGAGTTTTTCTATGGTGCATGTTTTGGATGGTGGCACGGGGAGAACAAACAAAGCCTCAAAAACAGCCTAGTGTGAAGATGACCACGTTCCATCCAGGTTTTGTCCACCCATTATGCTTCTTAAAGTGGAATAGTCTTTGTTCCTCCACAGACTGCACACATTTCTCAACATCAAGAGACTAGTTCAAGTACTACCACTGATTGCAAAATCAATACATTTTTTAAAAGTCACTGCAATAGTCAAAAATGTGGCCAAACTGCCTCGGTAACAACCCAGCGTACACTTTCAGGATGCATTGCCCAATCGCGTTGACTTACGTTGGCATGTTTTTGTACGCACACCATTTCCTCTCTGTTCTTGGAGATGGATTAGCTGTAGGGAGAAGCGGGGGATGCGTGTCACCCTAAACCTCAAAATGATGGAGTTTACGTCAAAGTATTGCAGCTGGAATGTAAGCCGGCACCTTTGGGAGACCAGACGTGACGCCAGTGTGTTGTCCAGAAGAATAGTAAAAGTAATTGATTACGATAGGACTACAAAATGCTCAGGCCTAATATGGAGTCGATATACTGTACGTTTACTGTAAGGCTTCAAATATCTCTGTTTATGATGCTTGCACCGATTCAAGTTTTGAAAGTGTAAAAATCCTGATTGTTGTGTGAATTTTACCAATTATGTGTTAAGCAGGATATTTATTCTCCATGCATTCATTTTCTTCCCCTTAATCCATTTCTGGGCCGGGGTGGGGGGTGGCTTGGTGACAGTCAGAACAGCACCCAATTTATTGTATGTATTCATTATGTTAACATGTGAATTACTTTAAATAATCAGGCCACAACAGGAAAAGGAAACGCTCCAGGAGCCCAGGGGAAGTGAGGCCCAGGAGCGGAGGTGCACTCACAAACACTACAATTATGATGTCAGTGCCTAAAATAAGACTGCCTGATAGTTTGAGTTATTTTCGTGTGGTATACAAGTGCATGTGGAGTACATTTGTCCCATGGATTACACAGGGTACAGCCATGCACTTGTGGTTATCAATAAGATTTCCATGGAGAGAAGCAAGTGGTTTCAGGACGAATGCATCATGTTCCTTTTATACACACAATATACATTTTGTTTGTTATATGTCCATGACAACATTACTATACATGCTAAAAAAAAACAGATTTTGCAAAATACAGGAAGCGCATGCATTGTTACAACAGAGTCGTTCATTGCTCATCACAACTTCACTGTTCTGTGAATCTGAATTGAGTGTTCAAATCAATATGAAACATTAGTAAAAGTATAGGAGGGAATGTATCTTATTTATAAATACGATACAAGTGAAAACTCACTGATTCAAACTAAATTCATGTGAAGTGGCTGCGATAAAAAATCAGCGGCTCCAAATAAAAGTTATGGTCCTATTCTCAGAGAGGGAAAGATGGAGTGCGAGATTGACAGTGGGATTGATGCAGCATGTGCAGTGATGTATCAGACTTATGGTGAAGAGAGCAGTGTCTTCTGTCTGAGCTCTGAAAATACTGCTCAGTTTACATTCCTACCTTCACCCTGGGTCATGTGCTTTAGGGAAATAACCCAGAGAGTGAGAGGAGTGTTGCTGTTATCAGGACTCAGGGCCCAGATGGACACGGGAAGGCGGTCTTCTTTACGTCATATTTGACCACTCTCGCCTGCTGCATCTGAGGGACTCGTGGTCAGCTTCTTTTCAGAAGGTGATCTTGTGTGATCTGATGCAGCGAGTAATGCAACGAGTAATGCAACTCAGAGGTACATGCGCTTTGTGGCCAGTCTCACTTAAGAGATGGAGGAGGGGCTCGGAGTAGAGCCTCTGCTCCTCCATGTGGGGAGGTGGGGAGTTTGGGGCATGGTCCTACTGTTCCCACATGAGTAGCAGACACTGTGGGATGTTGTGTGTTCATAAAAGCGTGTCCCTCCCTGTACGCTGACCTTTGAGCCCCTCTCCCTGAGCTGCTGACCGCTCCTCCCTCACTGTACAAACACCAAAACATAGTCTCATGTTTGCAAAAGACACTGTTCACATTTCACACATTCCGCACACTTACCATCAACAGAAGCAAGTGCTACACACCAGGATCACAGATCACATGACACGACCGTAGTTGGAAGGATTATATTCAAAATTATAAAAAATGAGATGTGCTAAAATTAACATTTTGAAAGGAGAATTCCTTAAAGGAATAGTTCACCGTTTTTACATACTGACATATGTTCTTACCTTACCTTAGACTAGTTAATACGTACCTGTCTGGTCTTAGTCCGTGCGCTCTGTCATGCAAACGGAGCAAAAACGGGAGCACAAACGCAGCCTCCTCTGTATACTGTGTAGGACCAAAAGGTAGCTCCCGCTAGAAGCTACCAAACTCTTCCAAGTGTTCCCTATTAAATGTATATAGTTACGTGACGTGTTACACTGCAAAGTATAGTAACACAGAAATGTAACAGTCGATTTTCTCAGCGGATAAAACGGGTACTATATTGTGAGGCGTAGTAATCTGAGGAGCGCTACGTCCGCGCACTAACTTCTCTCCGGAGACTTCTCTCTCGCTCACTTCCGTCAATAGAAGCAGCGTGACTTGTAGTACGGAGAGAAGTTAGTGCGCGGACGTAGCGCTCCTCAGATTACTACGCCTCACAATATAGTACCCGTTTTATCCGCTGAGAAAATCGACTGTTACACTGCAAAGTATAGTAACACAGAAATGTAACACGTCACGTAACTATATACATTTAATAGGGAACACTTGGAAGAGTTTGGTAGCTTCTAGCGGGAGCTACCTTTTGGTCCTACACAGTATACAGAGGAGGCTGCGTTTGTGCTCCCGTTTTTGCTCCGTTTGCATGACAGAGCGCACGGACTAAGACCAGACAGGTACATATTAACTAGTCTAAGGTAAGGTAAGAACATATGTCAGTATGTAAAAACGGTGAACTATTCCTTTAAGGGTTGACTTAGTGAGATATTTTACAAAAGCAATTTTACAATATTTTCTTCTCAGTTTGACTCAACTAAATCTGACAATAACAATTTGATAAAAACATGACTCAAGGTCAGCTGAGTCCAGTCCAACAACTATTGAGATTTTGTGGTGTAAACAAGCAGAGTGAGTTTAAAAGGGTCCAAAGGTTTTCCACAGCAGCAGCTATGGCAGTCTCAAGGGGTCAACACTAACGCTACAGTGCATTCAAAACGTTCTGAACTAAACCAAGTTGGTCAACATTTAACCATAAATGTGTCTTTATCAGGAGCAAACTGACTCATGTTCAAAAATACGTTCACATACAGAACATTTGTCACTGTGTAATCGTTTCCAAATGACTACTGCTGTCAAAACAGAGCACAAGAGTTTATCTCGTCAAATACAGTACATCATGTGATTTTAATCCCTTTGAACGTGCAACAAAATGTAATCACTAATCTATCTAACATGTATATGACAAAATGTACAACCAAATACTGACATCACTCTGTTAAGACCTGTGCGCACGGCTCTAAAGTGATTACTACTACTACTACTACTACTCCATTCAAAAAGGAAGAAGTTTTAGAATGAGTACCAGCGGCTAGACTCGCCGATCTCGTGCTGAAAGGTCGAATATGATAATGATGATATAAAGTGAATACATTTGAAGCCATGGGTCTACAGTGCAACACCACAGCCGAAGCCAAAGGGACACAGGCACATGAAAGAAGCAGGAGTCAGGTTTGTGGAGATGCAAGTCTGCGCATAGTACCTGTTATTCAGTGCAGTAAAATGCCCTAAATACAAAAGACAGAAAAGTAACTGTGTGCGTGCGGTTTGTCTGAAAAAAAACAAAAAAACTTTAAGAAAAATGCAGATCAAATTGACAGTATGTGAGATACAAGGTCACATACTCAATATATCGATGATATCCATGTGCACTTGTATATTGTCAATAGTAACTGTAACTCTATTTTAAATTTAAATGTATTCTTTAGAAGTGTTTTTTATTCTTATTTTTATTATCTCTTTCTGACTGTTGCACTGAGCCAAAGCAATTTCCAAGTCTGTGACCTCCTGTTACTTACGTGGCAATAAAAATGATTCTGATTCTGATTCTGATATCCTGTTCAAAATGCTCATGCCGATTCAGTTATTCTTCATATAATTACATATGGTCACATTATTATGCATTTTCTCATGAATAGTGTGGTTCTCAAGCTTATTCGATCAGAGAGCAGAATGAGAATGATTTGTCCACATCAGCGTGTACATGTGTGTGCTCCAGAAACACAGCAACAGGTCTTGGTAGTAATGTTCTGCCTCTATAAAAAGTAAAACCTAGATACTATTGAAGTAAAACATAACCAATAAACTAACTACTTAAACCTATGCCTTTTACTCGCACATGTAGAACTAACAGAATACACTATCATCTCACAAATAAAAAAGTTGTATGTATAAGAATGGTGTATGTACAGCTACAAAAAGACTACAAGTGACAGGGACTTAAAATAGAATCTCTTGAAGGGCAGCAGGTAGAGTTCAGAATCTTTTTATGACACACACATGCACAATTAAACCATGAGTCTCACTGTAACACATATTACCACTACTCCAGCTCATCGATTTGGCTTGTTAAGAAATGGGGCTGTGTCCATTATGAAATCACGGCTTGACTTAAGAAGCTTATCAAACTATCAATACAGTTGTGTCAAGCTCAAATCTTGTATTGTATTAGAATAGGTTTGATTACTGGTATTTCTTTACATGATCACAGAAGTTGTCCACTTTAAGGCAGGATGACCATATTCAGTATCTGATACAGGAAGCCTTGAGTGAAGTACATTGGTTAATTACCCAGTTTAAAATGTCCTTACATGGTTGCTTAATGTTTTTGATTGAATCCATATAAGACTTTGGCAAAGGTGGATATTGATTCAGACATTTTTGCGGAGTGTGAAATGAAACATTTCCATCTTTCATTTCACCACTATAAAAATGCATCATAATGTATGTTTCTGAGTGGACAGAGACACGTGAACAGCCTGTTTCCCAAATGTAAACACGAGTAAAACACGGGATCTGCTGATCAGCGCTGGGTAAACAATGTGGGCAGAGCACTTACTGTACAAATACATTACTATTACTGCTACTACATGTATACATATCATGTAGTAGTAGTAATTACACTAATAATGAGACGTTCAGAGTATTGTGGGATGCAGAAAGGCCAAATAGTAAAGCAGAGTTCTGCAGCAGCATGCAAATGTGGAAGAGGCTTCAGGGAAACTTTCCCTGATCACACACAAGGCCACGGTCAGCTGTGAGGAATGAAACGCAGGTAAGTTTGCTTGTGAGAGCAGAGACAGCCCTGTCTGAAGAACAATGTTCTACATGTGAGTCTGAAGGACCTGCCCCAGACTGTCAGAGGAACAGTAACAATACTGAGATAAAATCGTTTGATTGCAGATGGGTCATACCAGAAACCAGTCTACTGTGGTCTACCGACTCCCGAGCCCCGCGCTATATTTTAAAACGCATCAATCATCAGTGACACAGATTTAATTATTGCTCATTCGTGCACTCGAGAGGATATTTGGCCATAGCATAAAACCCCACCGCAAAAGAAGACTTCAGTTTTCACCAAGTTTATTACATACTATCTCATAAAAACATGTCGAACTTCTCCCACATATAAACACAGCAAATAGGTACATTTACAAATCTTCCGCTGCTCGAATCCATAGAAAAGTAACACTGAAAGAGCGGTACAAGGATTATTACAAGGACTGCGTGTTTAAACGACGCGTGTGACTGTGGGAGTATTGTAGAGGCTCTGGAGAGGACTGGAACCACACGGACAAGAAGCCAAACATCAAGGTGGACAGTTCTAGGCACATCATCCAGATCAACAACACAGTTATCAGTTACTGTAGCCTCAGAGCAATATAGCACAGGTCTGGCTAAGGAGATGAAAGAAACACAGAAGGCATATCATACACTGTTTGTGGGCATCCCTTTTTTATCTCTAATGGTCCTAGAGGTCTCTGATGGTGCTCTTGTCTGTGTCTATTTTGGTCTGTTTAATGTATATTGTGGTGTATGCAAATGTTTGTGGTGTAAAGCATTTGAACCCCTGCCCCAACACAAATTTCTCCTTGGGAAGACAATAACGAAGTATCTCGCCTGAAATAATGTACTTGTATGGGGTAATTGGTGCTTTCCACATGTAACTCCCTGTGCTGCCACTAGAGGAAGGAGAAGAAATGGTTTTGTTTTTCTCCACATTTGAAACTTGCAAACACAAACATGTGATTGTAAAGAATGCAATTTCACCTAAGAAAATGCCAAAACTAATGTATGAGCTGTTTTGTTTAACAGTTGTGTGTGATGTCGTAGTGGTACAATGACATCATAAAATTGCAGGACAGAGACAGCAGCTTTTTGACAGAAGGGGTGGAGTTACATGTTTGTGCCAGAAGTAAGTAAGTAATCTTTATTTATATAGCGCCTTCCACAGACCAGAGTCACAAAGCTTTAGTATTGCAGATGGGTCATACCAGAAACCAGTCTACTGTGGCTGCCCAAGTGACAGTAGCATGAAAACATGCACTACAGGGGTCTCCAACCTGTGGCTCGGGAGCTATCAGTAGCTCGCCAGCCCCTTTCAGGTAGCTCACTAAAGGATTTAAAATTTAATACATGATCTTGAATGAAAACGTTTTGAGCAAATAAATATCTGATATAAGTATAAGTAAAAGGTTAGACAGTACTAAGGTATATTCTATATGTGTCCTCCATTTTTTTTGTAATTATTAAATAGTTTTTTAGTACTACTGCAAAAAGTAGAAGCTCTCTGTCTCTTCTTTTGTAGCTCTTCAAACACGTCTTTCTGTACACATAATATTGTTTGAAACGCTCATTCACAGGTCGCTGAGAATGAGATGAGATGTACTTTATTATCTCACTATGGAGGAACTCAGGAACGAAATGGTCGAACTTTTACGGTAATAAGACTTGTCTAAACTTTGAGACGCCTGACCAACGTCACTTCCTGTGCTTTCATGTCAGGCCAAAGGGCCTGGGCCATAAGCACCAAAACACTCACTTTATACTTGGTACGAGCTTAGCACTGGGACAGGCCCACACACAGACACACACACATATACACACACAGACACGGTCCAAATGTCACAACAGTCACTCCGAGAGTCCGCGGTCCCACTTAACGCTGCGGGGACACAGGTCACGGCCAAGCTCCAAACTTCGGGACGCACACACACCTTCAGACACTTTTAGACACACACACAGAACTCACCGCGCTCCCCCGCGGCCCTGCCGCTGTCCTCCTCTCGGTTCACTTGTGTGATGACGGAGGACGGGTCCATGTCCTCGGTCCACAGCTCTCTCCAAACTTTAGGAACAGTTTTCAGAGTCGCTGCTGCAGGAGCGGAACATCCCGAAAGCACTTTACCGCGACGCCATTCCGCGCACAGTCGCTCCGCTGTGTCCGCTGTGTCCGCTGTGTCCGGGCTCTATCTCCCGCTGGACATTTGGAACAGGAGTGTTCAGAGTTCACAACAACAGTTCACAACTTTGATTCAACATGGAGTCTGTCCTGTGCTCTGCACATCAAACATGGAGTTTCAAGGCGCCCCTTCAATGAGAGCGCCTAGGCACTCCCTCTGCGCACAGACACACACGCACGCATACACAACCACGCACACATGCACGCGCACTCACACGCGCACACTGGAGGACGGTCCCTAAAGTCAGCGAGAAACTTTCACCAACTCCTCCGTCTCTGGCGTGTCTGCTCGTACAACTCCACGCCGACTCCCGAGCCCCGCGCTCAGGCTCCATCTCTGTGGCGTCTGCGGGGACTCACTAACTTTCCGCATGTTTTTGTGCACTTTTGTTCACACTGACATTTATTATAATAGTATCACTCCGCACATGCTGAGTGGCGTCGAGGCTGCTGGTACGGACCATGGAGCTGGTGATCGGGGAGTCTCTGACTCTGGTGCTGTTGCTTAGACCCTGGTGCTGGTGCTTAGACCCTGGTGCTGGTGCTTAGACCCTGGTGGAAGTGGAGACTCAGCCCATAGACTGTAGCCGCAACCTCACAAACACGAAAAACGCCCCGTCCGGGTCCCTTGAAACGGACCAGGCTCAGGGACCGTGGCTAAAGGGCCAGACCTGGAGCCCCGGAGGGCAGAGAGCTCAGGGAGCTCAGGAAATCTTAATATTACATGATCAATTATCTGAGCGTGTTTATTTAAGCAGGCATGAATATGAATCATTATCTCAATAAACATAGAGGAAAACAATTATAACACGATTCTAAGCACTTTGTAGAGTTATGGAACTGTGATGTAATTCATTTGTCTTTGTCATTTCTAGTATTCCAATATTTGTAAAAACAGACCAAAAGCTGAGATTTACCACCTCATGATTTATAACTACTACACTACTACTTTATAAGTACTCAACTTGCATAATGCACATTACCTACTTAAAATGTGAAATAAGTAGAAAATATATATATACATAGAGTATAATGATCTGATGCTAACCTGGTATGGTTGCACTGAAGACATTTATTACGAGCCATTTATTACGAGCTTTAAAACGCATCAATCATCAGTGACACAGATTTAATTATTGCTCATTCGTGCACTCGAGAGGATATTTGGCCATAGCATAAAACCCCACCGCAAAAGAAGACTTCAGTTTTCACCAAGTTTATTACATACTATCTCATAAAAACATGTCGAACTTCTCCCACATATAAACACAGCAAATAGGTACATTTACAAATCTTCCGCTGCTCGAATCCATAGAAAAGTAACACTGAAAGAGCGGTACAAGGATTATTACAAGGACTGCGTGTTTAAACGACGCGTGTGACTGTGGGAGTATTGTAGAGGCTCTGGAGAGGACTGGAACCACACGGACAAGAAGCCAAACATCAAGGTGGACAGTTCTAGGCACATCATCCAGATCAACAACACAGTTATCAGTTACTGTAGCCTCAGAGCAATATAGCACAGGTCTGGCTAAGGAGATGAAAGAAACACAGAAGGCATATCATACACTGTTTGTGGGCATCCCTTTTTTATCTCTAATGGTCCTAGAGGTCTCTGATGGTGCTCTTGTCTGTGTCTATTTTGGTCTGTTTAATGTATATTGTGGTGTATGCAAATGTTTGTGGTGTAAAGCATTTGAACCCCTGCCCCAACACAAATTTCTCCTTGGGAAGACAATAACGAAGTATCTCGCCTGAAATAATGTACTTGTATGGGGTAATTGGTGCTTTCCACATGTAACTCCCTGTGCTGCCACTAGAGGAAGGAGAAGAAATGGTTTTGTTTTTCTCCACATTTGAAACTTGCAAACACAAACATGTGATTGTAAAGAATGCAATTTCACCTAAGAAAATGCCAAAACTAATGTATGAGCTGTTTTGTTTAACAGTTGTGTGTGATGTCGTAGTGGTACAATGACATCATAAAATTGCAGGACAGAGACAGCAGCTTTTTGACAGAAGGGGTGGAGTTACATGTTTGTGCCAGAAGTAAGTAAGTAATCTTTATTTATATAGCGCCTTCCACAGACCAGAGTCACAAAGCTTTAGTATTGTTGCCGGCATTTGTCTCTCAAGGTCACCTGTGCACAAGCAGACCTATTGCACGTGTTTTTAGTGGTATGGGAAACTGGAGTACCCTACGCAGACACGGGGAGAACACGCAAACTATACTCAGAAAGGCCCTGTTCTGACAGAGTTTTGAACCAAGGACATTCTTTATGAGAAGCATCCTTCCTGAATGTATCTAAATGACTGATTAATTCAATGTATCATTTAATCTGTCTGTAGTAGATTAAAATTCTATTGTCACATTGCCAGTTCTGAATTGTATTACATTTCAAACGTTGGGAAGATTGAGAGATTTTATTTTTTTAAACTTACATCAAAAATATACTTTCTTAAGTGTATCTACTGTATATTAATAATGACATTCACTTTAATAATGAAATGGCAACATCTCGTCTTTGTAAACAGTAGGATTACACTTACACAGTGGCTATTATGTCAAAAAGCAGGGACTAAATAGATGCCCAGACTTGGCTTATTTTGCTATGAGGCTATACATTTGTAAGCACTGTTACTTTATCTCTATTACACAAACCTAATAAACTAGTCTAAACTTTCTGAGCTGAAACACGGACCACCGCAGACAATATTTTTGCTTTTTCTATTCCACCAAAACTCCTCATACTTGCCCTCCGCACATGCAAATAAATTAACATGAAAATACAACACTGTTTTTTTGGCTTGTAGACTGAACAATAAGTTAGCAGCATAAAAATAAAAGTTCTATACACGCACTGGAAACGCAAGACTATGCTATGTTTGTGCCGATTCCCTTTGTGATTCTCAACTATACACAAAAAAAACAGTTTGTGATCAATTATTGTTGTGCATTCAGTCTGAAAAAACAAAGAAAAAAATCCTCTGTAACTCGGTTCTTTCTGCCCCTTTCACACATTTTCATTATTATAGCGTTTCACAGTCCGAACTGCTGTTGTGTCCATGGGCAAAACACCTCAGGCATTCCAGTCACAGCAGACATCTGAAGCGTCCCCAGTCCAAAAGGTCCATGTTGTTCACTTTGGCTTTGCAGCATTAGCAGTAGTAGTAGTAGTAGTAGTACTAGTATTGGCCGGATAGGTGCGCAGTAGTACTTTGTGTCTCGTAGCCGCCTCCGCCCTACGGCTCTGTTGCTCCACCAGGTGCTCTTTGAGGCGGCCTGTGCTGAAGTTGAGGGTTTGACGCCGGAGCTTCATCAGGTACGAGTCTTGCAGCCAGGCGTGGGAGAAGCAGTCGCGGCTGGTGGGACGCGCCCTTAGACAGAGAACACATGGCTTAAACCAGGGGTGTCATTCATGCGGCCCGCGGGCCGGATTAGGCCCGCCAAGAGATTTGATATGGCCCGCGGCTCGTTTATGTAAAATGATAATAATAATAAAAAAATAACAAATAAAAATCCGCAGCGCTCAGTAGCGAGTCCAGTGCGTCTGTAGCTGGCTCCAGCAGAGCGGTGCTGAAGGAATAACATCTTAAAGTACAAGACTCTGCGATACGGCACTTTGAGCGGAGAATTGAGAAGACAGAAGATAAACGTGTCTGACCCTGAAGACACAGCAGTCTGTTTGTGCCCAGAGCGAGAGGTTAGTGCTGCTGCTGTAAAGACAAGCTAAAAACATAGCATTAGCATCGCAGCCGCACAGTGAGAGAGAGTTGTTAAAACTCTCATACAGACTGCAGTCATAGTCTGAGAAACCACACGCTGTCACCGACATGTTGCCATTGATAAGAGACTGATGTTACTGATGTCACATATTCATTTGTGGTGTTACTGAAACTATCAGAGAAGTTTTGAGCGCTGCTGCTGCTGGTTCTGCTGTTGTTGCTGGTGCTGTTGGACAGTGTGGACTGGTCCGACGCTGTCAGTCTGGTACTGACAGCGTGACAAAGCTGCAAATGGAGGTGATGATTTTTGGACATTTGACTGTATTTTACACAGAGACAATGCTGCAGTCGTTAAGAATGGATCACGTTATGGAAGTTGTTTTGTTCATTTCAACTGAATCATGGTCAGTTTGATGCTTTCTCTCTGATAATTATGAGGTGCTGTGTTAAAGTGCTTTTTTCTATCTACCTACTTTACCTTTGTGAGCAAGTTTTCTCTGTAATGAGCCTTAAAACAAAGCTAACATACATTTATTAATATAAATATTGTGAAATGCCATTTACAATGTAATATTGTAGATACAATAACTCACTGTTACATTTAAGTTTGTAACAGATTTACAGTTAAAACTGAGCGAGTTTTAAAAGACAGTGTTTTAAAGGAACTTTTTTATAAATGTGTTTATGTGCACAAAAAGTTGGACATGGTACAGTTTTTGGGTATTTTTGTAGAGCATCTTCTGGTCTGGCCCACTTGAGATCCAATTAGGTCGTATTTGGCCCCCGGACCAAAATGAGTTTGACACCCCTGGCTTAAACAATTATGTGGATTTCCCTAAACTGGTATCAATAGTTAGCTTGCTTCTACTTTCACAAGAACAATGCATTTAATTTTAAAGATCGACAACGCTGTCAGAGCACTCAAAACAGAGTTGTCTATTTAGTTTTATAATTGAAGAAAGTTCAGCGTTAAGGCGAAGCAACAGACGAGACGCCGGTGGAAGAGCCAGATGCTTCCTTGCCTTCAACAAGAAGTCAAGGAAGCATCTGGCTCTTACAATGTTCAATGCTCATTTAATGTACAATTAAGGCTTGCTAGTGCACCAAGTAAGATATGGCTACGAAATTACTTGAGTTGAAATTTGGGTATTCCTAAAACAAGCATATGAGAACAATGTGTAGTAAATTGATTTTCTGTTTATCGAAGATGTGTTTTGTTACTTAAAGCGATTGTCTGGAGTTTGTCAGAAAGAGGTGCTTGATTTGAAAAAAACGACGCAAGCTCCTCCTCCTTCCTTTCTGATTGGTCTACGCCTACGTTTCCGTAACACTTTTAAATGTTTATCAGAGAACACATTATACATATACATTATTAATACACATGCACGGAGGTTTTCAGAATTATTTGTTGACGTTTTAATGAAAAAAAATATGTTTTTATGTAGAAATTAAATGATTATGGATATAGGTTCAGTATATAAATGATTATGGATATAGGTTCAGTATATATATGATTATGGATATATGTTCAGTATATAAATGATTATGGATATATGTTCAGTATATAAATGATTATGGATATATGTTCAGTATATAAATGATTATGGATATATGTTCAGTATATAAATGATTATGGATATAGGTTCAGTATATAAATGATTATGGATATAGGTTCAGTATATAAATAGGTAACTCAGCGCGGATGTTCAGAATTCTTTGTTCAGTTTTCATGAAGTTCTAGAGCCTATAAAGGCTTGATTCGGAGGCTCCGCGAAAACAAAAAACTGAGCATGCGCAGCTGCGAGCATCAGCGCAGATGATTGACAGCCCTTGGCATGACTCGATTGGTTAACCTCGACGGCATCGTGGATTCTGAGCTATAGCTAAGAGAAGGGAAGGCGGGACTTGCCCGTAATATTAGAATTAATACATTTAAGGCCAGGAGGTCAATTTAACACATTTCCTAAAATTTGTAATTCATTTAGAGTTACAGACTATCACTTTAAACCTACAACATGAGGGGAAGAAAAATACCACTACAAAGTAAAGTTGGAGCTAAACATATCACTGGATCTCATAAACGTGGTGTTATCAGATGTGCAGATGTGGAGCCTCACCAGGGGTAACTGCTCAGCATCTTCTTGAGGAAGGTGGCTGCGCTCTGGGACACATTGGGGTACAGTTTTGTGGGGTCAAACTTGGCTATGAGGATTTTGGATTCCACCTTCTGAGGGTCTTTGTCCTCAAAAGGCAGCCGCCCGCTCAGCCTGAATACAGCAGTAGAGTGTAGAAAGTTAAACTCAGAGAATATGAACGTGATAACGCTCACAGGGGACTTACATGACGTGTGTGATGACTCCAACACTCCAGATGTCAGCGGGGGGTCCCACCACTTCACCCTTCACCATCTCAGGAGCTGCCAGTGGAGAGACAGTACGTTTCAAAATCTCTCTAACATGTAGACAGATTCTAGACTTGTGTTTCCTCTCACCCATGTAGTGCAGCGTGCCCAGGCGAGTGTCCTGCTGTCGGAGCGTCAGGGGGTTGAAGCTCTGGGCGCTCCCGAAGTCCAGGATCTTGACTGCGTTGAGGCTGGACACCAGGATGTTCTCTGGTTTCAGGTCTAAGTGCAGGACGCGGCGGCTGTGAAGGTACTCCACACCCTGAAGGATCTGCACCAGGTAGCTCACCACGTCGTCCTCCGAGTATCGGAACCTGAAAATACATGACAAACGGCACCACTTTACTGATGGGACACAATACGCTTCTGTTTCTCAGTCCCACTGGTGAGCAGAAGTGTGCAGGACAAGTAAGGGACATTATAGCCCAAATTAATATTTTAAGTAAATAAATGTTGTTATGTTTAAATAAGTAAATTATTTTTTTATTTTGGCTTTTTATATTATAGGAAAAAATGTGTTCACACTTTAGTTTAGCCCTCACTAATTAACAACTATTTAACTATTTTTGAAAAAATTTCAAACAGTAGCTCAGTTGGTAGACAGTAGCTCAGTTGGTAGAGCATTGGCCTTTGGGCCTGAAGGTTGTGGGTTCAAGCCCACCATAAGACCTACTTCACAACTCCCACTGATGACTACTGCCGTTGTGTCCTTGGGCAAGACACTTAACCCCACTTTGCCTAAAGCCCCCACTGAAAGATCTCAGCTCCTGTGGACTCACCACCTGCAGGAGGATCAGTGAGGGGCTGGTGCTCTGTGTCCTGGGTGCAGCTCTGACTGCAACCCCCCCGACCCAGAAATGGATTAAGGGGAAGAAAATGGATGGATGGATGGATGAAAAAATTTCTGTCAATGACATAGTTTGATGATTCAAGCAAAGTCGCTGACATTAGTGTGGAAGGAAGTAGCTGAAAGATGCAGTTGTGTTACTGATGATGTCGCTTGGTTCAAAGATCCTTTAAAGCTTGTGTTTGTTCGTCACCTGTCGATGAGGTGCAGCAGCAGCTCTTTGCCGCCGCAATACTCTGCCACCAGCACCAGGTATCGGGGGGTGACGTATGCCTCGTGCAGGGCCATGATCCGATCGTTGTGGAGAGTCTTGAGGATCTCATACTCCCTCAGCACCTCATGCTTGTTCTCCTGTGTGTATGGGACGATCTTGGCCATGAAGATTTTGCCCGTGGAGTTCTCCCGGCACTCACGGATCACACCAAACCGACCCCTGGAGGAGAAGAGGAGTGGGGCCATGTTAGCAGATGAGATTATTCCATTAAACCAGAAGAAAAGCTTTGTCCAGACCCAAGCTAAAGTAGATATAAACAGATACGGTCAAAAGCCAAGATACAAATACATAACAAAATAACCAACGCAAAACATTAATCACATAGAAGCCCTTTCCCCAGTGTTCTGCCACACTGACACTCTCCCACATTTACAATTCACTCTCAATCATATCTATTCAGACTATTCACTGTGGCTACATTCTTCTGTCTATCTTAACTGTTTAATGCTTTTAACTTGGTTCCTTTTGTAAAGTGACCTTGAGAGCTCAGAAAGAGAGCCATACAAATACAATATTAATATAAAAAGGAAACAACTTTTCTTCTTTTCAAAATCCTTGTTTTATACCAGTTTTGTACATTTAAAGCAACAGCTGTTATTCTATTTGCACGTCTAAATTAGGTTCAGACCTTAGACTGTAAATATGTCCAGACCAGGTCTTGCATTGGTGTGGATGAAAATACAGCATAGGCGTCCGCCTGGTACTACTACAGACTACTAAAGACTATTTGATTTACTAAGTATATCAAACATTATTATTTTGCTGCCCATATATCTTTTGCTATTCAAAGTAATTTGCAGCTTGCAATCATTCATTGAGTGAGTGAGCTCCTTCAAGTGGTTACTATAGTTGTTAGAACTTAATGTAGTTTATGACAGACATCTGTCTTGTTAACTGACAGATGTCTACAATTTCAATTGAAACAGAAAACCATCTATAAAGTGTGTTCACCTAGAAGTTGAGGATTTCAGATGGTGGCCAGGGCTTTCAATTAACAGCAATTACATCTTAATGTTAGGATGAAGCTTTTGTTGAAAGATAATCAGATAATAGAAAATTGATCGCAGTTGATAGGCCTTGTCATTTTTAAATTCTCAGTGTTTTTTTCAGTCATGACATGTCGATCAGGCACTAGTCACCATGCAGCAGTGATAATACCTGGCCTTCTCCTCCAGGAAAGTGTATGGCTTCTGCGGGACTCCCTGTCTGAGCCCCATGGAGGGGGTGGTCCGCCCTCCGGGTGTGGTCCGTCCCCCAGGAGTTCCTCTGGGGGTGCTGGTCCCGTCAGCGATAGGGCTGAGACTGGACGTCTGGAGCACTTGTGGGGTGAAACACACTGGAGTGGGGGCTTTCACAGGTGTGTGGGCGAGGACTGAGCTCAGGGCGGGTTTGGTGGGCGTGGTAGGAGGGGTTACGATGATGGGAGGGGCTAACACAGATGAGGGCGGAGTCTGCGTCATGGGTGTCACCACGTTTACTGGGCTCTGTGCTTTGGTGATGACAAATGGAGTGGTTTTAGTGGGGTGTGTGGGCTTCTCTGCAGTGGTGGGGGTGTTGGTGGAGGTGGGAATGGTGGGCTCAGATGAGGGCAGGGTTAAGGGGGTGGGGGTGTGATTCTGGGAGGGTTTGAGGAGGGGAGCAGTGACAGAGACAGCAGGCTCTGGAACGGTCTTTACCACGGCTACAGAGGGAGGGGCTTCACCACCTGTACACAAAATAAATTAGGCTTTATAAAAATCTGTTCGCTGGGTGTTTAGATGTGTTTATTTAAATCAAGGCCATGGAGCTAAACCGTGCTCTGTCGCCACCCTGCTTTAACTTTCTACTGCAGGTACTTCCTTTCTCACAATGTTGCCTCAGTTGGTCTGCTGCAACTGCACATAGGAACTCAAAATGGCTGTACAACGCTGTATTTATTATCCTGTTTTGTAACTTTGATATCAGCCTGTCTATTACAACGGACCTACATGCTTTTTGTTTAATTAATGTGATTCTGGCAAAAGTAAAATGTGCAGATCAATAAGAACAAATGCATTGAGTTATTACACGTTTAATGCAGATTTTTGGAGTAAACAATGCAAACATTAAACTTAGGTTACCTGTGGTTGCCGTGGTAACAGCAGCAGACAGGTTGCTGTAGGGGCCCTTCCCGGCTTTATTCACACAGGCCACTCTGAAGCGGAAGGCGGTGCTCTCTGGCAGCTCACTCACATTGTAGTAACAGTCCATGATCCCTGAAGCCACAGTCAGCCAGCAGGAGTCACCTGGAGGACGGAAACTCACTCATAAATAACGACAAACGACCAGCGGAAAAGTCTGATTGGATGATTGGAGATTTTTGTTGTCTCTTAACGTTCATATCACTGCCAAGAAGTGTAACATTTCAACCCAATACTTCACATAAAGGACACAGGATGGCAGTGTTGTCCCACAGATGCAGCAGGTTATTAGTCTACAATGCCAGCAGAAATTAAAATTAAAATGTATTTGTACACATATACTATAAAGTAACAACACATAATTGAAGCTGAATCAAAAACTCCTTGTTGGTCAAAGTCTATTTTCATCCTGACAACAGTGGAGAAAAGTGACGCGCACTCGTGACGCAGCTATGAGTAGACTGTCTGAGTCCGGTCTGCTCTCAGTCCTGTTTGCATGGACGGAATATAAAATAAACAGGACACAACAACTGGTACACTTTTTGAGGTTGTGGTTTTGAGGTCTTTTTGATTGCACTCATCACAGGGATACCGATCACATTGACAATTTTAGGAATCATAAATGAATCAAAATGTACCTTTAAATAAAAAAATGTGTGATAGGAGCCAAATAAACATTTAGACTTTGGCATTATCTTCTCTTTAATTGAATACTAGAAAAATATCTTTTGTTTTATCTTTAGATCAATGTAGAATTTCAGTTCAATCAATTCCATTATGATCTCACTATGTTTCCACACATTGTACATCAAATATTAATTACCAAATGTCACTACACAGAATTACTTATGACATTATTCAAACCCGAAAAGGAGTGGGAGGAAGAAAGATCAAATACATTCTCACCGACATTCATTTAATAAGGCAGAGAAGTTTTCAGAGTGACAGCGTTGCCATGGATATCCACACAATATGGGTTTTGACGCCGCAGCGATATGTAATGGAATAATGTTTTAGCGGAGGAAAAGTGGGCCACAATCCAGAACCTATTGCCTGGTTTTACTGTAGTGCTGATGACATGTGTTGGTCTTACCCTCACTCTTCCTCTCCAGGGTGTAGGAGCAGGGGGGCTTGGTGTCAGCGGGCTTCCACAGCACCAGAGCTGTGTTGTTATAGGTCTGCGGCACCTCTGGCGTCCCGGGACGTTTGGGAACACCTGAATAACAATAGAAAATATCTCTGAAGATGGCTTGCAGCTGGCACATGTTAACAAGGTAATAAATACATCTAACTTGTCTTTCAAAAGTACCACAAAAAAAAACATAAATATAATAATCAAGATAAGATAAGATAATCTCTGTTTAATCATCCTACAGTGGGGAAATATCAAATAATTTTACCCTAACCCTTGTAGATATTTAGTAATAGTAGTTATTAATATTTTGTATACAATTATAAACTTTAAAAATTTTGAAGAAAGTTACTTAAAGTGCTTCACTAATGTGTAATTTGTAGTTAATCTCTGTGCTATCAAACCAATGTATTTAACATATATAGTACTTTCTGGAACTTTTGAAAACAGTGGCACAGTGATTAGCGTTTGTGCTTCACAGCAGGAGGTCCGGGTTCAATTTTCTGTCTGGACCCATCTAGCCGTTTCTGTGTGGAGTTTGCACGTTCTCCCCATGCATAGGTGTCTGTGTAGGTTTGCTCCAGATATCAATAAACCAATGTACAATAGTTGCAGGTGAATGAGTGTGTTTGTGAGTGCAACTGTGGGACGACCGATGGAAGTGAGCCAAAGACATTGGTGTAGTGTAGTGTAAGTGAAGCTTTGAGTATCTTGCTTTTGCTAATCAAAGTGAAACCGTGACTAATAATTATTTTCCAATCTTTGCAAAGTGTTTGTTGTAAGCAGCAAATTCGTGAATCTTTCTGGGGAAAAAAAAATGTGTAAAATGATTACCCTTGGAAGAAAAAATGCAAAAAGGCTGGACCAAAGCAAAAAGGCTATTCCGTAATTGTGCGATATATTATGGGATGACCCGCTTGGCTAAGATAATATCACACAGACTGGGAGCCAAAGTGAAGAGGCACGGCTCACGTCCAAACGCATCAGAGACACAAGTGAAACGTTCTGGATTGTGTCTGACGTGTGAAAAATCTATTGTGCCGAGCGTCCAGGGGCCCGAGTGCAGCGGCTAATGCACTGCTATTTGTCAAGTGTGAAGACAACGTGTCAGGAATGGTTTACAGAGCCAAGCGGAGAGAGCAGGGAAAGGGCTTCATTTCTCTCCTGACAGGATGAGTAAACCCATTCTGTCAAATTTATTCACTGTGCTCCAAACTGTCTACATCATATACCAAGTGCATGCATAAACCTGTCTGCCTAATTCCTCAAATGCTCCTGGAATGGGGCCATAGAGCAGGTAGATTTCTTTAAGCAGATCAAACTCTGATGTCACAATGGTTGATTACATTGGCAGACCCTACCCCTAAATCTAAGAAGTATGATAACCATGTCAAAAGTGTATATATATTTACTGTGGCATACATGCGATTGAGAGGGTGCAGGAGGTGGTGACCGCGGCGATGGGGTTGGTGGCCACACACTCAAACACGCCGGCGTCTCTACGGCAGCTCTTCATGATAGTCAGGAGTTGTCGGCCGTCAGGGTGGGAGATCAGGTTCATGCGCTCGTCCACCTCCAGGGGCTTACGGTCTGACATAGAATAAATACAAAACCCCCATCAGCGATGTCCAGTCCTGCTTATCAATCACTTGAGTTCAGAATTTTGGGGGCAGAGTTGAGAGACAAAATCAATAAAACAAGTTAATATCAATGTATGACTTTAACCACATTTTCTATTTGTATCTGAAATTAAATGAGTTAAGGTTTAAAAAGTGTATATCCTGTATGTTCAGACTCTTTGTCTCTTAGGTTTGGTTCTTATGTTTACATTCTTTGTACGATGCATCTGTGGTACAACCAAACCTTTTAACTACATCATCCTCTGTCCATGATGTTTTTAACTTTGTATCTGTTTATAAAATGTACTTTTTTCTGGAATGTAAGGCAATTTTGAGTGTTGAGAAAGGCGCTTAAGATATAAAACATATTGTTATTATTATTGCTATTATTATATTAAAATAATTGACTAACACCAAGCCCCCTACCTTTCATCCAGGTGATCTCTGGTAGAGGGCTCCCGGCCGGCAGACAGCTGAGGGTCACTGGGTCTCCCTCCAGCAGAACATGGTCCTTGAGTTTAATGTGGAAGACAGGAGCGAAGTCTGAGGCTGAGGGGCTTGACTCTGCCCCTGCTGATCTCACCTCAGGCTGGGAGGATGCCCGCTCCCTCCTGCCCCTGGACAGCCCCCATCGGTCCCACCTGGATCTCCGCTCGCTCTCTTGTGCCTTCTCCGTCGACTGGCTGCCGGTGGACTCTATGGATTCTTTTGAAGCAGTGGTTGAAGCCTGTTTTGCTAGCTGGTTCTCTGGGATGCCCATTCCTTTAAGCCCGCGACCTTCTGACTGGGAATACCGATGACGGCTGAAGATCGGCGTTCTTTTCCCTTCATTTTCTACTTTTCTCTCCTCTGACTGACTACGACTTTTGGAGGAGATCCCTGTCACTTTGTTCTCAAACCTCTGTTTCATGGCCAACACTGGCGAATCACTCACTTTCTTCAAATCTTTTAGACTTCCATTGCGGTCCTTTTCTCGTCGCTCTTCTGACTGGGTCCTGATTTTGGCAGAGATTTCAGAAACTTTGGACTCAAATCGTCGCCTCATGGAAAATACAGCTGATTCTTCTGATTTCTCTTCTTGTTTCTCCAGCTGTTTTTGCGTGTCCAGTGACTTGCTGCGTCCAATAGCCCAGGACACCCTTTTGCTTGTTGCAGTTTCCTCTTTAGCTTTCTCTGGCTTCTTCTCAACTGATGACGATCTCTTGGCCCGCAAAGAAAACCTTCCAATCAAGCCAAAACCAGCATCCTTCTCTTCCTCTCTCAGGTCTTGGACAGACTGTGCTCTTTCTTTAAGGGCCTTCTGAACCATTTCCAATGGGGCTCCTCTTGCGGCTGGCCTGTATATTTCCTCACCCCCTTCGTTGGCCTTCCTGACTGGGGACCTTTCCTCAGAGCGATTTCTGGTTAGTTTGCGGAGACCACGAGTTAGAGACGATTCCCTCTTTTTGAATCTCGCTTCAAAGACTTCCTCAGAGTCGATGTCCTTGATGTCGCTCCGTAGCGCAGGTTGGCGGTTGAGGACGGGAGTCTCCGAATTGGAGGCCACAGGAGTAGACTTTAGATCTGTGGTTGCGACTTTGGCAAATACAGCTGGATGTTCTGGTAAAGACTCAGTGGACTTTGATGAAGCCTTGTTGGGAAGTTCTTCTTTCTCTGATTCAGATATTTTTCCACTTTTATCCTTATCTTGTGTTGCTATTGTCGGAGTTTCTTTCTTTTCATCAATGGGTTCCTCAACAATAATTATTGGGGGAACATGGGATTTTCCTTGAATCTTGGTCCTCAAAACTTCATCTAAACTTTCATCCAGTTGGTCCCTTGTTTCTGGTAGTCTGAATGACACTTTCACAGTTGGAGAATTCTTAGCAGAATCCGTTTCCGTGAGCGCCGACATAGAAGTTGCCTCTTGCAAGTTCTTTCCGTCCACGCTACTACTGCTACTACTTGCTGACGGAATCTCCAACGGTGCTCCGAATCTCCTGTGAAGGGGCATTGGTTCTGAATCTCCTTGCGAAAAGGAGGAGCTTTTGCGGAACACTTTGGTCTTGGGCGTATCCTCAGGTGAGGTCTCAGAGGAAGCTGCTCGGACTAGAGATGATGGACCGGTTTTAGATCGACGCAAACTTCTAACCAGGGAACCGGTTGACGTATTTTCCTCCACCCCTAAAGTCTCAAACAGAGGTCCTCTTAACCCGCTCATCTTTTTATCACTGCCACCTCGTAGTAGTCTTTGCCGCATCAGTTCTAGCTTGAGTGCATAGTCTTCTTGACTTAGCTTGCCCGGGCCGGGACTTGGGCTTCGATTAGGCAGTTCCATAGAAACTGCCTTTTTCAGCATCTTGTTAGCTGTTGCTTCTTCTTCGATAGCTCCAGCCTCCTCCGGGTCAATGTGGAGGAGTAGAGCTGAATCTGCAGAACTACCGCGCCTCATGGTTGCACGCCGGGATTTGGTTTGCAATTCCTCCACTTCTATGCTCGAGTCTTTTTTAAGAGGCACTCTCTGAACTCGTTTATCTTCTTCCATATCCTCCTCACGTACACCTTCCATGGGAGTTTCAGTCCCTAACCCTGCAATGTCGTCGTCTCCAGGGATGTCATTGAGTGAAATGCGTGACCCAGAGAAGGCCATGGAGAGGGGCATGGGGATGAAAGGCTCGTCCATGTCAGCATCAGAATCAGAGGAAGAGGAAGGAGGGGGGGTGCCTTCCTTAAGGTGTCGGGCCACAGCAATTGACACGTGGTTGGAAGAGTCACTCAGGAGCTCGGGGATGGAACGCATCACCATCTTAGATTTGTAGCTGATCAAGGAGCGCTGAGGGGAAAAAGTGTTTTATTGACATTTAACCTGATTAAGTCAGCATTAATGATGGAATTATTAATATTTTGTGGGGTTGTTTAAAGCTAAAATAAAAGCATGTTTTCCTTTAAACCTAGCTTGTACATGTTCTGGAAAGAATAGCTGCAGAATACCTCCGCTGCTTGTAACCATGGTAATCTTCCTTTGGTTAAAATCTTTCACAGTGTGGGATAAATGAGGATTAAACTTTCTACTCATGTGAGTTACATACTTGTAGCAGCTGTGCCAAATACGGTACGAGTCCACAGGGGTTTGTCCATAAGGTTTGCAAAATGACAGAATGTATATTATCTGTCTTAAGTATAAGTTTATTATTCACATCAAGTATTTAAAATAATTCTTTCTCTGCTCATGTCAAAACGCAATCTTCACTACTTTTCTGTCTAAGATTTAGAATGTCGTCTAACTCACTGTGTAAACTTGTAAATGTCATTCCAGACTATAAATAAGCCTAAAACAGATAGAGTTTCATGTTGTCTTTTTTCCTCAAAGTGCCATCTGCCTTCTCTCCTACCTGCCACTTCCTCCGAGACAACACTTGCTTCAGCAGCGCAGTACTGATGCTCTTGTTTTTGGGAGACTGTGGAAGAAAGACAGTGGCTTTTAAAAACATCCTGCGCTGAGAACGGAGAAATGTGATGGATGGTGAGCAAAACACTAGTTTTACCTTGAACCAGGGATGACGAAGACACTCCACAGCTGTGGGCCTCCTGACATAAGAAAATAAGTTACACAATTACTACCACGCACAACATATGGAGCTACACAGGATTGAAGAAAATTCCAGTCATGATTCAGAGACAAAGAGTAGTACGGGTTCTCAAAAAAACCCCCAGTAAATTACAATAATAGTAATTGGGAGTTAGTTCAGGATTCATACGAGGGTTCTCTGATTAAAACGAAACAAAACAAAATTCTACATGCCATTGCAAAGGCAAAAACTCTACTATAGAGTGTGTGTTCATTACAGCAAATACAAGCTTGTGTCTGTAATGATTATCTAAGACAACCTTGGCTCATAATTAAATATATTTAGCACATTTGAAATGGTAATATTGCGCTAAAACAATGACACTTAACATCAGTGAAACATCAAAGGCACCGCTCCAAAGAGAAAGCAAAGCAGTGGGAGTGGCTAAGCGTACGTGGTCAGAGGATTGCAGTGGTGATAGCAATACACAATAATATAAATGAGTAGTCCTTTCACTAATATGATGTCTGGTCCACTCACAGCCGGTCCACCACCAGCAGCTTGATGACAAATCCTTTTGCCTCTTTGCACAGGCCTGAGAACATGCTCTCCTCAAACGCCACGTTGTAGTTGCGAATGTTGAGAGCTGTGGATCGGTCGTTCTCTCCCGCGAATGGAGACACGCCTGTCAGACTGAGAGAAAAACCTTTACAACATACAAGCAAACAAAATGAATCAAGTTTATGATGTTGAACTCACCAGAGGTAAGTGATGACTCCCACAGACCTGAAAGAAAACAAAGCACATCGGTGACTGCACTCTGTTTTTTTGGTGACAGTGAATCAATAAAAGTTTTTATAGTCTTCTATCTTTATGCTGAGAAAAGCTGGTTTGTAGTTAACTGCAAACATAGACAGGGGTATCTTTCCCAAACAGTAGGATAAGAAGACATATTAATGTCTGTTGATAGGTTTAATCACCTGACTATTGTTTATCTCAATTCTGATAAAAAAAGGATTTAATACTAGTCCACTGACTCCTGGTGTTGATTAGCGCCTGCTCCTTTTTTATGTGAAAGTCATCTCCATAAAGTGCTGACAGGCAGACATTTTTCATCAGAATTCTATGTTAGTTAGATATAAAGAAAACAACCGGTTGCCGTGAAAACTTTCAATGATCAAACTGGGATCATTGAAAGCATTAGAATACAAAGTACACATTGACAAAACAAAACTTCAGGTGATGGATAATAGGGAATAACTATGATAACAAAATAATGCATCTTTAAAGAAGCAGTCATCTCTAAAACACCTGCTCCTTAATTCAAACAAAATGTTTATTTAGCGATATTGTCATTATCAAAAGTAAGCCTAACATCCAATAGTCTAAATGTTAGTTAGGATTCAAATGTGTGGTGATGAACAGCGATAGGCAGAAATGCTGATGCCAGAGCCGGCGTGTGGCTGCCTCTGAACAGGTGGCTCACCATATGTCGGTTGCCGTGGAGACCGGGGTTTGGTTAATGATCTCCGGAGCGATGTATTCTGGCGTGCCGTACTTGCAGTAGTGCTCGTCGGCCGGGTCCAGTTTCAAAGCATTCCCCAGATCACAGAGACGGAGCTGGTCCGTGCTGGGGCCGCAGAAGAGAACGTTCTCAGGCTGGGGACAGGCAGAAGCAGCAGCACTCACAAATGTACTACCTCTTGTATTTGGTTTCATTTCATTAAAATAATAATAATAATAATGCATCGGTTTTATATAGCGCTTTTCTGGACACTCAAAGACGCTTCACATGTGTCATTATTCATTCACTCCATACACGGTGGTGATAAACTACTGCTGTAGCCACAGCTGCCCTGGGGCACACTGACAGAAGCGAGGCGACCAGTATGCGCCATCGGCCCCTCCGACCACCACCAACCATTCACACACACACCAGACTAGAGCCCTGCACGGGCCTATTATCTGGGCCCGAGCCCGGCCCTGGCCCGAGGGGGTGGCGCCCCAGCCCGGCCCGGCCCGATATGGTTTCTGAATTTTCAGGCCCAAAACCCGCATCAAGCCCGCCTTTATTTTTTTTTGTAACCTCCCATAACAATGTTTTAGCGTAGTATATAGTGCCGCGCACTGATATGAACGCAGACTTAGCTAGAGGGCGGAGTTATACATGGTAGTGATGTGTTGCAATGAGTTCTGTGTGTGCGGAGTGGTGCAGAGTGAACGGCCGCAGCTGTATGATGCCCCCGATGCTGCAACACATCTGAACATTACATAAGTAATGCTATGTGCCGTCAATGACAACACTACACAGAACAACAAACACTACAGCGTGATAGAACGCTATATTCAGTGGGTGCGCTCGTAAATCTATTCTGCCGCTCTGAAAATGAAGAGCCCGAGCCCGGCCCGTGTCCGAGGTCATTATGCGGTCATCGGCCCGAAGCCCGGCCCTCGGGCTGTCGGGCCGTCGGGGCCCTCGGGCCAAGGGCTCAAGTGCAGGGCTCTACACCAGACTCATTCTAGGCAATGGGGGTGAAGTGTCTTGCCTAAGGACACAACGGCAGTTTGGCACTTTACAGCCGCCCCACTGTGGCTGGTGTTCCCAGAGGTTAAGTGTCTTGCCAAGGACACAACGACAGTAGTCAGTGGGAGTCGATGGTGAAAGTCTTGAGCGGGGCTTGAACCCACGACCTTCTGGCTCAAAGGCCAAAGCTCTACCAACTGAGCTACTGCCGACATATGTATGTTAAAGCAAGACATATGTAAACACGCATTGGTTCAGATTAATCCCTTTATACCTTTATCTAGAAGTTTACATAATATTTATTCAATTAGATGTTTTCAACTTCAACATATATACAACATATTAAAACTATGCATATATCTAAAAGATCCTTATGTACTCTTAGTGGTTTGATAAAGAGTCTACAATTACAATAGTTTGTTGCCATAATCTTCCTGACTTTGACACAGGTAGCTCCTAAGCACTGAATACTGATGCCTGTTGGGGTTCAGAAAAATGTGTGTGGATCTATTTTTTTGTTTTTTTGTATTCAAGAGCCAAAACCAGATACGTTTCACAAACTGGCACCCCAAATAAGGGCCTTATTCTGCTCTGTGATTGGACAATCTGCTTGTAAACAAATATACATGAACATAAATACTATGGACATCAAGTACATTGTACTCTTAATAGCTGGGGACACAAAAACGATGTAGATGTAATTTAAAACTCTCAACTTTTTAATAGCTCAATGTCATCATTATTCAACATTTCAACCCCATAGATATAATTTTCAAAAGTTAACTTGCAACTTTCAAGGTCATATCAAGGCTATGCTCACACTCAGAGAGCAGCCGTCCTCCTGTGGACTCACCACCTGCAGAGGGTCAGTGAGGGGCTGGTGCTATGAGACTTGGGTGGCATCTCTGATTGCCACCCCCCTGACCCAGAAATGGATTAAAGGGTAGAAAATGAATGAATGAAAATGAACTTGCAACTTTAAAAAAATGTCATACAATCATTGATTAAACTCAAATTTTGTGAATGTTTTTCATTTATATGCTTCTGTATGTATGATCCAGCTTAACTTTTATCTCTGCACGCTTGAAAGTTTTCTTGATGGTTCTGTGACTGTGTGGTTTAGCAACATCACAGTCAAACAAAGGAGAGCACTAACATCGCAATAATATCGTTATCGAAATTCTAGACACCCATATTGCATTTCGCACTCATTTGTAAATATCGTGCAGCCCTACTTTAAACAAGAAAAATCACCGTGAGCTGCCTGTCCTAGAGGCTCTTTATGAAACCGAGCTCTTAGAATAATCAATGACACTTCTGGCCACCTTTGAAAAGCCATGTTCCAGCTTCTTCCCTCTGGCAGAAGATATCGTTTGGAAGAGATGCAGGAGATCTTGTTTTGCTAACAGCTTTTTTCCACAAGCTGTTATCAGTATAAACAGGGCACTTTAATAATCTTGAACTTGAAACTTGTATTGAAACTGTTTTAATTTGTCAATGATGTCTATTTTATCCCTGTATTTTTTTATATTGTTGGACTTTTGCAAATGTATTCCAGTATGGTTTACTACAAATGGCAAATAAAACGAATCTGAATCTTACTATCCAAACTATGAAACCTACCTTTACGTCAAGATGCACAATGCTCTTCTCGTGGAGGTATCTCAGTCCCTCTAGAATCTGCTGCACACTGTTCCGAATCTGCAAATAATAATAATAATAATAACATCTTTATTTGTACAGCACCTTTCAAAAGACATGCTTACAAAGTTTTATAAAACATCAAAAACAACAAAAACAGAAAAAAACATGTAGAGGTTTAAAAATTCATAGACGTGACATGGTGCCAGACCTAAGCTTTAAAAGTGATCAATAATTTGTTTTAATCAATTCTAAAATGCTCAGAGAACCATGGAGATGATGATAAGCGAACACTGCCATGAACTTTTCCGTGAGCCACAAACCTCCACTTCCATGACGGTCGTTCTCTTTGCCATTCTGTCCAGCATTTCTTCATGATATCTTCCCAGCACAGTTAAGGACACACTCATGGAGGGATGAATAATGGATGAGGAGTCTTTCCGGGGCTAATTCCACAGGCAGATGATGAGAACAGCTGCAGTAGGATTAATGCTCCGAGCTCTGAGTGTGTGCAGAGATGACAGCACTAAACCATTTGTAATCGTTTGCAATTTCATCGAGATTAGCCTTCGCGATGTAATCACTCACACAGAAATCCACACTTCATTTGTAGTATTTTGTAGCGTATTGTATTTTAAGCAGTGGAAAGAATAGGATGTCCTGTAAGAATACCTGAGAACATGAAGAAGAATGCTCAGGATTTGTCTGGATATGATTTAGGAATTTAAAAACATCACAAGAGGTTGCTGTATCTCAAACTAAAACTAATCAATTTGGGGGATTTTTTTACATCTGTGCTTGGCGTAAAGAAAACAGCAGCCCTTCGACAACACATCCTCAAGGGACGGAGCAGAACGAGCCCACGAGTGCAAGCCTGGTCAAAGTTGACATTAGTAAACAAGGTGTGAGCGCATCCAGCTAGCGAATCTGACAAAACATTTCACCAAACTATGTAACCTGGACATAGGAGTGACAGACACTAAAGCTTCTATGAAACAACAGAACATACTATAAATCCTGTGGCAAGATGTGTACTTCAAGTTTATTTTAACATTAGTTCTCTTGTGGTAAAGTTAACTTGTCCTGTTTTAGTTTTACTTCCTATCCTGTTTTCCATCCATTTTCTACCCCGTAATCCATTCCTGGGTTGGGGGGGTGGCAATCAGAGAGGCCACCCAAGTCACATAACACCAGCCCCTCACTGATCCTCCTGCAGGAGCTGAGATCTTTCAGCGGGGGCTTTGGGAAAAGTGGGGTTAAGTGTCTTGCCCAAGGACACAACGACAGCAGTGGAGAAGGTGATGAGGTGGGAATTGAACCCAGGTAGAGCAGGCTTAAAGGCCAATGTTCTACCAACTGAGCTATTGTCGCCCTCTATCCTGTTTTCCTGTTTGATTTTAAGCTCCCGATTGTCTACCCCACCCCCATGCTCATCCCAATTTATCGCTGGTTCATTGTCTCAAAAATCCAAATGAAACACGGGAACCAGGAAACAGGCAAACATCTGTTTCCTTGTTCTCGTGTTTCATTTGGATTTTTGAGTTTGTTTATACTTTGGATCTCTTTATAAAATTTTTGAAGAAATTCTGGTTAACCCTAAATTAGTCATTACTAACAATGCACAAGGCAGTGATTTTGATCTGAAGGCCATAGCTGCTAGTCCTGGGGAAGGTGCTGATTGGAACGTCTCCATTCCTCCATGCTATAATTTCACTTGCTTTCTGTAAAATCATTGTTCGAGTCTCGTCTCTACCATAAATAGTAAAACATGTCTTCAGTTGTCTGACACGACCCCAGACCGATCTGCATCTTGTCTCTTTTTTGACAATACCTTGGACTGTTATTTTATTATCATTATTAAATCATTCTTTTTGGATTCCTGCTTTTGGGTCCTTCTTCATTTCACCACGTGACAACTTGGACGAGCTGGTTGAAGGATACAGGTCTGTGATGAGAACCAGGATGTTCTTCTTCTCGAAAGCGTCATGGAAGTAGAGGATGTTGCGGTGGTCCAGCTCCGACAGCAGCTCCATCTCCCTGAGCGCGGCCGTCTTCCTCTGCCCCCGGGCGCACACAAACTTGGCAGCAAACTCGGCCTTGGTTTTCTTCTGAGTCACCCGCTTCACGTAGGAGAAGGCGCCCCTGCATGACAAGCAGCAGGGAGGATGAAACAAAAGCACGTGGAGCCAGGAGAGAGCTGGATGGGAATTTAGAGTGTGAAGGCTAGCTGCTGTGTCATACAAATGCGTGAGCAGAGTTATAAACTATCCTGAGTTTGAACACAAAACACATCTAAACAGAATCTTCTTACTTCTTCTTGAACAGATTCCTGCTTACCTGATTTTAGTAAAATGCTAATTGTAAGTGTAAAATTGGTCCCGAGTTAAGTTTTGTACTCAGGACCAGGGCAGAGAAAATGGTCCAAACCAAGCAGACTCTGCAGACATCAGCAACAGGAATGGGAGCAACTCATCACCAGCGGCTGCTCCACCTCTACTACTGTGACCTGTCCTGCTCCTCCCATCGGCTACACCACCTGTGATACTGTTGCATTTTATCACTATTGTTTATAACTTTTTGAATTATATACACTACCGTTCAAAAGTTTGGGGTCACATTGAAATGTCCTTAATTTTGGAGGAAAAGCACTGTAGATAACTTTAAACTAGTCTTAACTGTAAAGAAATACACTCTATATATTGCTTGTGTGGTAAATGACTATTCCAGCTGCAAATGTCTGGTTTTTGGTGCAATGTTGTAATTGCTGCAAATGGAGGATTCTTTGACGAAAGCAAAGTTGGATGTAAAACAAATCTTATTTCAAATACAATTCATTATTTCTAACCTTGTCAATGTCTTGACTCTATTTTCTATTCATTTCACAACGTATGGTGGTGAATAAGTGTGACTTTTCATGGAAAACACTTGGGTGACCCCAAACTTTTGACTGGTAGTGTATGTATTTGTTTTGTTTGTATGGATAGATGTGAGTCTGCTACTGGACACCTGAATTTCTCCTACAAGGGATCAATAAAGAATCTTTGAAGCTACTGTATCGTATCTGCCTTCATAATGGGGTGTTTGTTGGGCCAAAGAAAACTGCTTAAGTCTTTACCAAATAGCCTACATGGTTGCTCTTTTAGAACACCTGTATTCTACATAATGCTTTGAAGTATTTCACAGCTCCACCCACACACCAGGTGTGGATATGATTGGCTCTTCTTTGTAATAATAGCATATGAGGAATGCCACTGATTCAACTTGATATACTGGTCATAACTTTGAATTATTATAAGGTGCTGTGGCTTAGTGGTTAAAGCGCCTGTCTAGTAAACAGGAGATCCTGGGTTCAAATCCCAGCAGCGCCTGGATTTTTATCAGAACTACAGAGGAGGAGACTGTTTTTATAAGGCAACTGACAAAGGTTGAACCAATCCAAGAGTGAATGCAATGTGTGTATTAATTAGTTTCTCTTTCGTTTAACAGGAAACAAAAACACCCCTAAGTATGCCTGCACTTGACATTCAAACAAGTATAACAAATCATCTGTGCCTTGCTAAATTTACTACTAAGCCCTTTTCATTCTATTAGTGAGTGATAACTTACTCCAAGGCATATGGTGAATTTGACTAATCTTTAACAGTTGAAAATATAATCACATTTGTTCAAAAGTTGAAATTGATTCCCTATATTCCACCAGCGTCAATTAGGTCACAACTTGACAAAGTGTCAGCTTGAACTCATGAATCTCTGGTTGTATTTGGCAGTTGTGTCACAAACTCCCTCTGCTTTCGTGTGATGGCGGGCCCTGATTGCTCCACCATTCACCCTAAGTGCCTGTCTCCTGTACTGCACTGATGTGGGGCTGTCATCTCTGCTGCTGCTGACTCATCCCTGGCTGCTTTCAGATATACACACTAGCATTTCATGTGGGCTTATATGTTATATTTTCATTTTAAATGACATGTACATTTTTCATGTGTCCCCAGACAGCATGTATATTCTTCTGCATTTCTTTTTGATCTGACTGTTTTATGCTGACTGGGCAACACTTTGTAAACCATCCATCCATCCATTTTCTTCCCCTTAATCCATTTCTGGGTCAGGGGGTGTCAGTCAGAGCTGCATCCAGCACATATAGCACCAGCCCCTCACTTATCCTCCCGCAGGAGGTGAGTCCACAGGAGCTGAGATCTTTCAGTGGGGACTTCAGGCAAAGTGGGGTTAAGTGTCTTGCCCAAGGACACAATGACAGGAGTCATCAGTGGAAGTCATGAAGTAGGTCTTGGTGGGCTCGAACCCACGACCTTCAGGCTCAAAGGCCAATGCTCTTCCAACTGAGCCACTGTTGCCCCTGCTTTGTAAACCCTGTTTTAAAAAAAGTTCTATACAAATAAAGATTTATTATTATTATAAAGATATTTGACTTTTTTCTAAACAAAAGTTAAAGTGGATTTATTCTTAATAAAAAATACGATAGACGTGCTGATGGGAATTTCAGGCAGATTATCCAATCAGAGCAGAATGAGGCTCTTATTTCAGTTGCCAATTTGTTAACTTGGATCTTTTCATGATCACAAACAAAAAGCACTACACTTTGATTTGAATGAAAACAGGTACAAAAGTAGAAGTGTCATAGGCAACACACATCAGTAATCAGTGTTTAGGAGTGCCATACGCAGAAAGACGAAACTGTGATTGTCATTGTAATGACTTTCTTAGACCACTAAACGTGCATAACACACACGGCCCCTCAAATTAATTCATATATTTTTGCAAATCATTATACATCCTAATATATAAAGGGTGCAATGGCAAGGTCAGATTTTGAAATAGAGCTTACACACCTGCCGATCTGCTTGTGCACAGTGTAGTAGTCTGTGAGGCGTCTCATCTTGCGCAGGATGGAGCCCTGGTCCTCCATTGGCTCCGGCTCCTCCTTCCGCTCTACAAAAGAGAAAATGACGTTTATGTTAATTTCTTAATGACGGTGAAGAATCTCCATTAAAGCAGTCATGCTGTTGTTGTTCTCCATGGGGGTCCTGACATAATTAAAGTTAAGCGTCGGAATGGTCTTGCAACTAGAGACTACAAGTGGAGCTTCAGAATGTAAATGCAAGTTACTGCCCTCAAACAGCAGATATTCTTCATCCAGCCAGTAATGATCAGCCAGTGTATGGCTGATCAATGCTTAGCAGTGTTGGGCAAGTTACTTCAAAAACTTTTTTTTACTGTTTTACACAAGTACTGCATTACTTTTAAGTTACTTTCTCCAAATGTAGCTTATGATGCTATTGCGTGATGGAGCTTTTGGTTAAAGAGCACTTAACTGTTAATGTTCCAAATCTTTGTCCACATCTGTAAAATGTACTATTATCCAATATATCTGCTTCTGCTCCATCTTCTACCACAGGGGTCACCAACCTTTTTAAATCCGAGAACGACCTCAGGATGACCAAATGGCCTGAGGGCTGCTTAATATTGTTGAATTCAAATGAATTGTGCATTGCACAGATCACTAACAAATGGGGAATTCTACATAACCCCAGTCATTTATTTTCTTTTAACATGGATTACAATTTAAACATCTCAAGTTCAATTAGGGGGGCGACAGCTCAGTTGGTAGAGCCTAGAGGACGTGGGTTCGAGCCCACCATGGGACCTACTCCAATTGCTCCCACAAATGTCTACCGTCATTAAGCCCCCGCAGACAGACCAAGGCTGTGGCACCACTGACTGAGCAGCCATCTTCCTGTGGACCCACCACCTGCAGAGGATCAGCGAGGGACTGGTGCTATGAGCATTGGGTGGCAGACCCAGAAATGGACTGATAAAGGGGTTGAAAATGAATGAATGTAAGTTCAATTACGGGGGCAACAATGGTACAGTTGGTAGAACATTAGCATATTTCTCTGCTCTTTCGCAAACACCAATCGCTAAGCGGAGTCTAAGTTAAAATGCAATGTAACTCACGTTACTAACCTTTATATCGAGTAAATATTCCCCAGTTCTTGCCTTACATTACTGCGTTACAGCAAAAAGTAATACATTACATCGTTTGTACTACCGTACTCCCAACACTGATGCTTGGATTGTGTGGTAATAAATTCTATGCCTTGACGTATAGTGTGTGTGTCTAGAGAAGATTCAGTTCAGCAGGATTGCAGTTTGAGTCGATGCTTTCGAGATGATCTGTGTTGTTGCCGTTGCATGCTCTCTTCGTTTGCAAATTCTAGTCCATTGTTTGTTTTTGTCACCACTGAAAGGCTTGTATAAAGTTTGAGTAAAGTGCCAGTCAAACCTGTGTGCACAGTGAGTTGGGCCTTGCAGGAGTTGGGGCCCCCCAGGTTCTTGGCCGTACAGGTGTAGACCCCGCTGTGCTCGGGCTGGGCGTTCAGGACCACCAAGGAGTACTCCGGCTCGTCGTAGACAAATGTGAAGTGGTTGCTCTCCGAAAGAAGAAGGTCATCCTACAACGGGACAGAAAAGTTATAAACCCCCAATAGTAAAGACTAGATTTTTCTCCCATAAAAGTACTGTTTGTGTCAGGTAGAAACAATAATTATCGGTCAAATTAATCTGAAGAACCAGTTCCTTTGGCCCTACCTTAAACCACAGAATTTCAGGGTCTGGTTTTCCCTCCACTACCACCGCCAACCGAGACGTTTCCCCCACATTCACGTCCACGTCCTCCATGATGCTTTCAAACTTGGGCGGCACTACAAAGAAAAAAAAAAAACTCTGCGTGATTCCAGCTGACAGTCATGACATTTGCGCCTGCTCGGTGAAACCCAAAGGGAAAGCAAACATGTGCCGTGAATCCTGAAAGTCCTGACCTGCCAACACCAGCTGGAGCGTGGCGAGGTCGCTGCCGTATTGGTTGGTTGCCATGACAACAATCTGGCCCAGGTCAGAGGCGCGAACTCTCGGCAGCCGGAGCATGTGCTGGTCGTCATCGGGCATAGAGAGCTCACACACGCCGGGCCGGTGAACCAAGGCTATGCCACGTCTGATGCCAACCACAGGGTCACCAACATAAGGATAAACAGAGAAATTGTAGATGAGAGCACGTTCCTGGGCTTAACTTTTCAAAAGATTTTAAATGGGACAAAAATACCAATGACATTTAAGAAAGCTCGTCAACGCCACTTCTCTCTGCGGAAACTTCAAAATTCTGCTTAACTTTTATTGCAGCACACATCACTCCAATTAAAGAAGCTCTAAATAAGGTGTACTGCTTCATGGTAGTCTGTTCATTGCTATTCACCGGTTGTCCCATTGTCTGTTTCATGGCTTGATATTGGCCCCAGACCCCCTCTCGCCGCCTTTGTAGTCCTGGATCTTCAGCCTGTCTGTCCATGGATCCCTCTCTCACTGTGGGCCTCCCTAAGGTTTTTGCCAATGCGGGAGGGTCTAAGGTCCCAGGACATTAAAAGAACATGTATTCACAAATCAACAACTGTGTAAAGTCATCCGGGCTATAAAACAAAACATTGAATTGAATTAAAGAAGAGCTCTAAACAAGGTGGTCCACTCTGCTGAAAGGACAGGGACAGGACTAGGAGGAGACTTTGTGCATTGAGGTTTGAATAGAGCACTTACATTTTCTGATCTAGCACTTATTTGCTTTTAGTTTGTACTTGGTGTAAATAGTTTTCCTGTGTTTTCTGTGTTTTTCTGTCTTTAGTGTTTTCTTGCATGCCTGTATCCTTGTTTTTATACACTCTGGACATAATGTACATGTTGCGTCAAAACGTCTCGTAGTCATTTAAAGTCAGACCTCTTCCAGGAGACGGTGGCGTGCACGTGGTTGAGCTGGATGATCAGGGTTGTGGGTTGGTTCTCTGCCACGTACACCACGTCTGGTTTATCCATGATCACCGGGGCTTTTCTCAAATATGGCCCTGTGGAATCAACAACTAATTTAGCTGGTATAGCAGAATCAAAAATCATATAAAAAGGAAAAAAAAAAAACGAACTACATTAATATATGCTTCTATGTAGTGGCCTGACCTTCCACAAACGATTCCATACATTTTTCTCACACCTTTTTTCTTTTTCATCACTATTTTTTTAATTTAGTAGTTCTCTGTCTTTAAAAAAAGCTTCAGGGCTTGACCTTCTTTCTCTTTCACATACCATTTCTGAAAAACGCTGGTGCCAAAAGGGTTAATAATAATATCAATACATCAGTTTTATACAGCGCTTTTCAGGACACTCAAAGATGCTTCACATTAAATGATTCTTTCACTCCATACACGGTGGTAAAAAACTACTACTGTAGCCACAGGTGCCACCATCAACCATTCACTCACACACCAGACTCATTCTAATGTGGGAGAAGTGTCTTGCCTAAGGAGACAACGACAGTTTAGCACTTTCCAGCCGCATCCGCCCCACTGCAGCACCTGGTGTTCCCAGAGGTCTCCCATCACAGTACTAGACAGGCCCTGCCCTGCACAGTTTTAAAGGTCTGACGGAATCTGGCTTATGCATGGCAGTATCCATTAACAAAGGAACTATTTAAAATTAAGTAAATATTGATGGCAAAAAAGGAAATAAAAGCAAACAGTATTAAATAAAACAATCGATAACAAAGAAAAGAAAAGTAAAGAGTTTCTTGCCTTTGTCTAGGAGCTGTACCAGGTCTGTGGAGGGCGACGGCTTGCTGAGCGTCTTGCCGGTGGAGCTGAGAACTCGGAAGGCATAGCGCACACCTTTGGTCAGGCCGGTCACCGTGTAGCTGGTCTCTTTCAGGTTAGAGGCCACCACGCTCCACTGGATGGAGCCCAACGCCTGCTGCTGCACCACATACACCAAACAATCTGCCCACACAACATCACATTTACTTCAAAAAGTTCACTATTTTGATATTGGTTTGGGAAAGTTAGGATATATATGTGCTACGTGTGGTGAAAGTTAATGTGCAGAGCGTTTGGCATTTGCAGGCTGACAGTAAATGGCAGCCTCTCTGATGTCTAAGTGAAATGCCAAAGGGTTTTTGTGTGCGGAGTGTCCTGAGGCGAACTGTCAGAGTGAAACGAGGTCACTGCAGCGGCCCATGACATTCTCTATTGTTTATACAAACCTATGCATCACATAAACTAAATGACAGACCAATCGGGGAAAACTTCGATATTAGGCAGTCAAGATGATGAATATATCCATGTTGGATGTAGAAGTATGATCGCATTGGGTCATTTCGCATGTTGAAATAGTACCTAGAGCAGCGTCGGTCCTCTTGGGTTTCTTCCAGCTCAGACTGATAGTCTTCCCTGTGATGGACTCGATCTCTGGAGTCCCATCTGGAGGCTCAGGCACAATATCTGTAATAACAAAGTGTGAATGACTCCAAAAAGTACACCAGCTATCCATGGCAAGGCAAGGCAAGTTACTTTGTTGTTTTTTGTGTAAATACAGTTTTTATTTGTTATCTTTTACAAAAATAATATTGTTTATTCACGCACTGACAGGACAGTGTGATATTATGGCATATACTTGTGTTGATGTTTTGCAGATAAGACGATTGTTCTGATGTTGAGAAAGTTTTGTATGTTTGTGTCCAACAGCACTGTGAGCCAAAGACAAATTTCCCAGAAGAGACAACAAAAATTTAACCTCAAAGTTCATTTCCATAGCAAAGTTTATACATAATATCCATCCATCCATTTTCTTCCCCTTAATCCATTTCTGGGTCGGAGTCAGAGCTGCACCCAGTACACAGACCACCAGCCCCTCACTGATCCTCCTGCAGGGGGCGAGTCCACAGGAGCTTAGTTATTCAGCAGGGGCTTCAGTCAAAGTGGAGTTAAGTGTCTCGCAATAATATACATATTGCATAATATTGCATACATACATAATATATATAAGTAAATCTAAGTACTTAACAAGAAACAGTCATACAAAGCCATAAGATCATGAGAGGATGTGTCTTGATTCTCACCAGTGACGTATAGATGAGCGTAGCAGGTGGACTTGCCCACCTTGTTGGCGATAACGGCCTTGTAGACCCCTCCGTGGGCGTGGCACGCACTGCGAATGAGCAGACTGTGGACATCCCTGTCTGGAGAACACACACAGCACTGCTTCCACTACAGATTCATGACCACATCTCTTTCAATATTAAGAGAGAGAATAGCGAGCACTTTGTGAGCGTTTCACCAAGCTATTGACAAGTACCTATTTGCAAGAACAAGTAAAAACAAATATCTGTGCTCATGACCAACAAGGATGTCTGTGGTCTAATAAGACTTCATTGAACTGATATGCTCAGTCTGCATATATATTTGTTTAGGGCATCATAATATAAAAAAAAAGAAATGTGCTAGAGCCCACTAGTTGTACTGTCTCTGAAAGTGATGGAAAAATGTTTCTAAAAGAATTACAGTAAACATTTACTGTTTACTTATATGTTTGGCGTGGCAGTGGGAGGGGCTTACAGTGTGTCATCTTGCGCTCCTCGCTGCTCTGGATCTGCTTGCTGTTGTGGTACCAGCTGATGGTGGGGTAGGGCAGGCCTGACACGGTGCATTTGAGGACAGCCTCTTTGCCCTCAATCACCTCCACGTCGCTCAGAGGCCTCACAAAGTCCGGCATGGTCCTGCGCTCCACCTCGCCCTCCGCACACTCCGGCTCTTCTGGGATAGACGGCATCTTCTCCAGCTTTGTCCTCAAAACACATAAAATTTCTCCTAATAACAACCATCTATCCCATGTGTTGCCAGGATCTGATATATAACGTTAGGCCTTCAGAAGCAACCTCTTCAGAAGCTGCCCACTATGCCACTAAGACCGTCCCCCTGTCGGCAGACTGAGAAGCATTTAAAACTATCTCCCAGTGAATAGTTTGTCTGTATCATCAAGTTTCTGTGGTGCTGCTCTGTGTGTGACAGGCTGATTGATTTGATTTGACAGTGCTGTCTGTGCTGTGTTGTGAACAAACTGTTTGCAAAGTCTTACTGCGTTTGAACGATACTCCAACTCTAATTCAAACCAATAACACTAATAACAATAATAAAGTCACATAACTTACAGTACAGACCAAAAGTTTGGACACACTTTCTCTTTTCATGACTATTAACAGTAGATTCACACCCAGGCTGTGTAAGGGCTATTTAACCAAGAAGGAGAGTGATGGGTGCTGGGCCAGATGACCGGGCCTCCGCAGAGTGAGGGCGAAAGGGCCAACAAGTGCTGTGCATCTCTGGGAACTCCTTCAAGAGGCTTGAAGCTAAAAATAAAAAAAAACTCTTTGAATGAGAAGGTGTGTCTACACTTTTGGTCTGCACTGTATATGATAGCTACACATGATAGCAACTACGGTTATTTATTATATTATTTATTTATGTATTGTTTATTTGGTTAGGACAGTACATGTTAATGAACACATCACTCCGAATTGTAGCCATGGGCTAATTTCCATCCGTTGTCACACAATCGTACTCACAAACACACACTCATTCACCCTGAACTATTGTACATGGTTTTAGTGGTAGGGGAAACCGGAGTACCGGAGAAAACCTACGCAGACACAGGGAAAACATGCAAACTCAGAAAGGCCCTGTTCCTTCTTGCTGAGAAGCTAGAGTGCAATCCACTCAGCCACCGTGTCGCCCATAACCACACTTCTTAAATAACCCACTCAAACAAGTGAATCAGTACTCTCAGATAACTCCTTACTACATACTGTAAAAGTCACTACTCCAAGCCGGACAAAAGAGTCCGGCTTGGCCTTACATGTGTGAAGTGATGGCGGCCCGGGGCTCCTGCACGTACAGCTCGGCAGTACACTCTGCGGTGCCCTGGGTGTTGTGGGCGATGGCGGTGTAGAAGCCCTCTGTGTGGCTGCTGACCCCTATGATGATCAGCGAGTGTCGGCCGCCCTCCTGCAGCACGCGCACATTCTCACTCTCCTCCACCACTGACTCTTGCGAAACACACACACACACAAACACACATGTTATGCACAAGTTTTTTTAGGAGCACTGCTAGAGGCGCCGAACTAAAGTCAAAAATATAAAAGATAGAAAAGCAGAACCCTAGTTGCTTGTATGAAAGTGTATAAAAACTTCTCTAGCCAGGCAGCCTATTTACACTTCTTTGTGTAGTTTGTAGTTTGCAATATCACTAATGAGCCTTTTATACAATTTTTAAAGAAAAAATCCAACTTTGTTCCAACTGCTTTAAAAAGATACTACAATTATAAATGAACAATGAGTGTCCAGTGAAGCTTCAGATCAGAAAGTCAGCCAACCCAAGAGCCTCCTAATTCTAAGCTAACCCAAAACCTTCATTATACAGTGTGACTTTCACATAAATCTCTGTTCTACTTTGAACATGAATGGCACAATGTCAGTCTGAGAGCAGTACAGCCACCGAAGCAGACGGCGTATCCTGTGTCCACATATGACTTTACCCACGTACCAAAGTGCATCCATGTGACAGTGGGGGGAGGCGTGCCACTGACTTTGCAGCTGAACCTGGCCGTGCGCCCCTCCATCACCTCCAGCACGTCCAGCCTGCGGGTGAAGAGCGGCTCTCGAGACGGACTGACCTTTAGACTGGCACTGGAGGTCAGCTCCTCTGCACAGCACAGGACCACACAAAACATCATCTCCAATTCCAATCTAAACTAAAGTATGAAATCAAATGTACACAGTGAGACTTGACTGTGTCGTTGCAAAGTTAAAGAACACATATTGTGCTTTTGTCTGCTAAACAGTTTATGTATGTATAAGTGAAGATAAGATAAAACTTACAATGGAGAAATGTACATGTACATCAATGTATTTGTTTGTATGGATACATGTGTTTCTGCTGCTACTGGAAACCCGGATATACAAATGGGTCTACATAAAAAAATATTTTGGCTCTGTACCTTTAGCGGTGGTCAGTTTGCACATGTAAGTCCCACTGTCGTCCTCATGCACAGAGTTTAACAGGAGGCGGCACCTACAACACAAAACACAAAGAATACAAATCTGCGCAGTTAATTACTACATTATTTTGAGCCTTATTCATTTGTACTTAGTTCACCAATTTTATTTTTGGATCCTTCCTTCCGCACTGTTGTATGTATTTTGTTAACGCTCTACAAGAGAGATGCACAAAAGTCCCTGACTCGCAAGTCCAAGTCAAGTTTGGTCAGAGTTTAACATGAAGCATCAGAAGGAGGCATGGGGGAGGGTATGGAAACTTCTGCTTCCATGATCCAGGTTTGTATCTACTTTGTATTTGGAAAACCATAAAGACTTGGAAGTCCAAAAAGCACAAATCAGGGTCATGTCTGAGTCGTTAGTGACGAGTCTTGAGCCGTTTGGAGACAAGGTCAAGTCACGTCGTGAGTCTTAGCAACTTAAGTCCGACTCCAGTTCAAGTACGACTTGTGAGCTACAATAACATTTTCACAGAGTAAGAAATTTAATTCATGTTGTTTATGAGATGGAAATTCCCAGGACCTACCTCCTGCCGTCAAAGGTCATCTTGCAGTTGAGAAGAGCGGGCTGGATGAGCTTCCCGTTGGAGAGCCAGTCCACGTCCACGTCTGCCGGGCCACAGATGAAGCACTCAAACATGGCGGACTCTCCCGCTCGAACAGACACGTCTTTCACACTCCTCAGGATCTTCAGGCATGCTGGTGTGCTCAAAGCTGGAGCAGAAATTTAAATAGATTTAGTCATGTTTCTTTGATAATAGATTTGTTCTATGTTTAAACAGAATATATCACAGACCAAGGAACCAGACCGTCTGTGTGCATCACCATCACTCATTACATCCAGACCTATTGTACATGTTTTAGTGCTGTAAACAAATGTTCTGCTTGTTACACATGGAAGGGAAGCTCAAAATTATCGCATTAACGCACTTTAATTTAATTTTTTTTTTTTATTAAACACGTTAAAAAAATTAAAACATACCGAATGACCCGCCCATGCATCCATCCATCCATCCATTTTCTTCCCCTTAATCCATTTCTGGGTTGGGGGGTGGCAGTCAGAGCTGCACCCAGTACACAGAGCACCAGCCCCTCACTGATCCTCCTGCAGGGGGTGAGTCCACAGGAGCCTTGATCTTTCAGCGGGGGCTTTGGGCAAAGTGGGGTTAAGTGTCTTGCCCAAGGACACAATGACAGCAGTCATCAGTGGGAGCCGTGAAGTAGGTCTCGTGTTGGATTCGAACCTACAACCTTCAGGCCCACAAGCTCTACCAACTGAGCTACTGACCCGCCCATGCATCCCATAAAAACACTAGTGCCGCAGACACATGCGAGTGATGTCGACAGAGACCCTCTGAGAATTTAAAGTTTTAAAAGAATATGCGCATCTGTGGCTGCTCTGAACAGCGGTTCCCACCTCCAGTGGCTGTGAGCCGTTGTAACAACAAGACAGCGAACCGTACCGCCGTAACGCGATCCAAGACATACACGCCAGAGAACTTTTCTCTGCTTGTTGTGTGCGTGTCGTCACCACTGAGGCTGGACCACGGAGCCTCAGGAAGTGTCTGTGATGCCTTTGTTTCTCCTCCCGAAACGCAACTGAACCTGCTAAATTAAAGCTGGGGTACCTAATTTTTCCACAACCTTTATGAGACAGAGAAAAAGAAGAAAGGAGGCTTTAGCTTTCAGTGGGGGCTTTGGGCAAAGTGGGGTTAAGTGTCTTGCCCAAGGACACAACGACAGCAGTCATCAGTGGGAGTCGGTGGAGAAGGTGCAGAGGTGGGAATTGAACCCACGACCTTCTGGCCTTAAGGCCAATGCTCTACCAACTGAGCTACTGTCGCCCCAAGCGGAATATGTCGAACTGAAAAAATACTGTCTACTACAGAAAGACAGAATGTTAATGCCATTTTATTTGGATTTATTGTTGGTATGATAAACACATACAGTACATATGTACACTATGTTGTCATGCATCTTTCCATTCAAACAACCATTTACAGAAAAATATGGCATAATTTTGCAGGAAAGTTCGAAATGCGATGAAAAAGAGCTGTAATGAACTTGATTAAAAATTGTAATTGTTTGACAGCCCTAGTTTTTTGGCACATACTCTCTTACTGTTAGTAACTTTTACAACTATGTGTTAATTTGTTTTGTTTGTATGAATGTCTTTCCGGTAAATTTCTCTTAAAGGTGAATCTTATCTGTCTATATAATTCAATACGTTAAGTTATATGAAGTACTTTACCATTGACAACCACTTGACACTGGGCCTGCTCCACCCCGTGCTCATTGATAACTTTACACACGTAGACCCCGGCATCAGACTGCTGAGCCGCTGTTATCCTCATCTCCACATCGCCCTCTTCAGTCTGCATGATGGAGTAGCGGCCAGCTGTCGTCAAGATGGTTCTGTCTTTGGACCTGGGAAATAAAACAGAATAGAGTAAAGTAGTATTAAAGGAAGGGTTTACGTGTTGTGAATGGGCGGTCTCACCAATGAACCATGGGAGGTGGCTGGCCCCGCACTTTAGCGCTGATGACCATGTCGTTGCCCTCGGTTACGGAGATGTCGCTTGGTGCTATCTGTTAGATCAGATACGAGCAATTTTAGAAATGAGCAAACATTAGAAACATGTTCTTTACTATCTTGAACTTTATATAGTAGATGTAGAAATACTGCTAAATCTTTCAACCTTGGATTCTCTAAAGTGGCTATCTGTACAGCCCAAAACTAAATCAAAATGTATTACCTTTTATACAAATGAGTTGATGTGTATATAAAACAATTAACAAATGACAAAACAATATTCAGTTCAAATGTTAATAATAGTTCCATTAAAATAATCTACTTCGTGGAACAAACCATCTGACCTTAATGTGACCTTTACAGATCAAAATGGCGGTAGCACAAACGTCATTTTGAATTTAGATAGAATGATAGAAAACCTTAACAATTGATATCACCTGAACGTGAGGTGGTTCTTTGAAGTGCACTCTCTTGGTGGGGGCAGAGGACGGTGTGATCTCCATGGGCTCTTCCTGGGGGCTCAGGTACTCCTCATCGGACCCCACCCCTGCACCAGCACTGCTTCGACACATTTGGGTAGCCCCTAAAAACACAGGGAACAATGTGCAATAACTTGATTGAAATGACTGCACTGGCTATCCTCAAGGCGGCGTACTGTCCCTGTTGCTCTTTTCACGTAAGACATTTGTTTTTAAAAATGTCTCTCGCTTGTTTTTATGATTATAAAAATGTTGAGAGAAAAGAAGATGTCACATTTGTGAATAGGAATTATACAATTCAATTGCAGATCTCAAAAATCCTTTTCAGTTTCAGTTTCAGTTTATTCTTCTTCACAGTATCACACATTTATTCATACATTGAAATTTATATTCAATTTCCGTGACACAGAGAAAAAGAAATGGACACCCTAGGAAGCTACACAAGCTTATGCACGGGGTCCAGCATACAAAGTCAAAGAAAAACAGATGGATGGAGATAATACATATACACACACGCTCACACACACACACGTACACACACCCACACACACCTTCAGAGATCGTGTTTGTAACACCGATGGTATCGTTGTTTCTATGAAATTTTCATTTATTTTAGTTTCAGTGGTATATTCGTTGTTACTACTGTTTTTGTTTTTGTGTTGTATTTTTATTTTATAAGGTGTTATCAGCACAATTGTTTTATATTACTTACCATTCATGTGTGCTTTCCCTTTCCTTTGTACAAAAGATAAATGGAGTCAGGGAGAGACTACAGTTTTAGTCAGGCAGTACAGTAGCGTCCTAAGAGCCTCTGTTTGATGTTTCTTTTGAATATGGCTAATGAGAGAGTCTGCTTGATGTCCCCGTCGAGCTCATGCCAGATACGAGGGCCCTTGCAGCAGATTCTGAAGTTGGTAAATTTTAGTCTTCTGTTTTTCGCTTTTTATTTGTATTTCTCTCTTGTGTCGTGTTGGTGTGAGGCTGAGGTCAGAGGGATGAGCTCACTTAGTCTGGGGTTTAATTTGTGGACAACATTAAATATTACACAAGCGTTTTGATACAGGTTAATTTCAGCAAGTTTTAAGAGGCCATATCTGTGGAAGAGAGGGTCTGAAGGAGCATGGACCCTGTAATAGCTCTAATAGCTTTCTTTTGTAGTATCTGGAGTTTTGCAGTGTAAGTAGGGTAGGTGTTATTCCAGATCACATTACAATAATTTAAGTGTGGTTCAAATAGGGATCTGTACTATGCTACACAGCTAAACTCGAGAAGCAATTAACACAGAACAATATTGGCTCTGCTTGGGATGGCCTTAATACAATTTTAGGTACAAATAAAAAGAAAAAACCGAGAGTGAATATTGCTGGAATTAAATCTGACACACAACTGGCTCAGGATTTTAACTCTTTCTATTTGAGATTTGACACTTTTGACTTTACCAATGATATTGAAAATTTAAAACATGTTTTACGTTGCCCTGCCTCCCCGCCTTTTAATGAACAGGCTGTGGTCACTAGTTTCAGAAAAACCAAGGCTAAGAAAAGTCCTGGCCCTGATCATATCTGTGGCCGACTGCTGTCATCTTGTGCTGAACAATTAGGCCCTGTCTTCTTTTTTATTTTTCAGCTGTCATTCAGCCAACAGAGGGTGCCACATTTATGGAAACAGAGCACAGTAATCCCTGTGCCCAAAACTAAACACCCCAAGGTTTTAAATGATTTTAGACCTGTGGCTCTTACTTCTTTAGTGATGAAGTCCTTTGAGAGATTGATGAAAGCAGAGCTTCTTCCTATGGTTGAAGACCTGCTCGATCCTCTTCAGTTTGCCTATCGGGCTGGTAGAGGCGTGGAGGATGCCACGGCCACCCTTTTGAACTTTGTCCTCAAACACGTGGAAAACTCAAAGGCACATGCACGGCTCTTATTTTTAGATTTTTCATCAGCTTTTAATACCATCCAACCTCACATCTTAATTGATAAGCTTGTTAATGATTTTAATTTGAGTTCAAATATTGTGGGCTGGATTTTGGACTTCTTAACAGGCCGATCACAAAGAGTGAAGGTCAATGGTTGTTTGTCAAATGTCTTGCACTCCTCCACTGGGTCACCCCAGGGCTGTGTACTGTCTCCACTTCTGTACATCTTGTACACAAATGACTGTCGCAGCTGCCATGAAAATCATCATATTCTTAAATTTGCAGATGACTCTGTTATTGTGAGTCTTCTGAACGGTGATGAAAACGAGCATGGTCCTGTTGTTGAGGACATGATACAGTGGTGTGACGACTCATTCCTGCAGCTGAATGTTCTTAAGACTAAAGACATGTGTGTGGATTTTCGGAGGAAAGTCTCGTCACCTCAAGCTACAGTGATCAAAGGTCAGAGAGTGGAGCTCGTCCAAAGTTACAAGTATCTGGGGACATGGATCGACAACAGGCTGAACTTCAATGAAAACACAGATGTTCTGTGTAAGAAAGGGCAGCAGCTTCTGTTCTGCCTCCGGAAACTGGCCTATTTCCAGGTGGACGGGACGATAATGAGACTGTTTTACAAATCTTGTGTTGAGTCAGTTTTAACTTTTTCCATGTTGAGTTGGTTTGGTAACCTCAATGTCAAAGGGAAAAAGTCACTCAGCAGAATAGTTAACCTGAGTGGTAAGATTTTGAGAGCTCCTCAGACTCCACTTTCTGAGCTGTTCACTGGTCAGGTGACAAGGAGGGCTCTGAGGATTCTGGGTAATGAGGCTCACCCTCTTCATGAAGAGTTTAGTTACCTGCCGTCTGGTTCCAGACTCAGAACTCCAATGATTCGGAGCAATAGATATAAATACTCTTTCGTACCTGCAGCGATCTCTACACTAAACTCAAACCAGAGACGGAGGAAATAGGGGTTGAAATTTTTGCTTGAGGGGGACAGTTTTTGTCTTCTTTTTTATCCTGTTTTTAAACTGCCATTGACCTGACGGGAAGACTGTATATGGACACCTTGTTAGTCTGAATGTATGGGGAAAATGTTTATTCTATGTCTTTTTCTTTGTATGTGTCCCTGTGCTGTGAACCAAATTGCCCCATCGGGGACATGAAATAAAGTGAAGTGAAGTGAAGTACAGTGTTAACATTGCCTCAAAAGGAAGTTGATGTCTTAATTTGTAAAATAAACATACATATTTGGATAATTTTTTCTCCAGTTCTTCAATATGTTTTGTAAATTTTAGGGATTCATCTATATATATTCCTAAGAATTTGGTTGAATCAACTCTTTGGACAGCCTTTCCGTCCATTTTGATGTTTACGTTTCCATCTTTATATTTATGTTTGATTGGGTGGAATATTATAAAAAATGTTTTACTGACATTTAAGGCCAGCTTATTTAATTTGAACCATAAAGCTACTTTTCCTAATTGGTCATTTAGTTGTTTTTCTAATTCTATTCTTTTGCATTGTATAGCAATGATACACACTGGAACTGGAAGCAGCATGGCACACATATGACAATCCAAATGAAAGACACTATAAACTATTTGTAAATTGTAATCTACAGTACACTATACTAAGTATTTGTTTTGTTACACTATACTAAGTATTTGTTTTGTTCAAATATTCATACTGTACTGTAGCAGAACTTACACATTACTCATTCAGGCATCCCCATAATGCAACATATTAAAAATAATATGAGGAATAACAATCAAGAGCTAAAATCAGTTTGGGATTACCACTACCAGCCAGCAAGCCAGAATGATGACTGGCAGCAAGTGTATTTTAGAAATATTTTAGACATACTAATTGTGGAAAACAACCTCACAGAGACGGGATTGTTGCGCACCAGAGCTACCTGGAAGTTTATTCATTTTCTCTCAGTTCTTTCTTAGGTTTTCCTCAGGTTTTTTCAGACAGAACAAAATCAGGATATGGTTTATATAGTCAACATTTGCATCACACATACGCCATACATTGAAAAACATACCTGTCATCTAGAGACATCGAAAGAACATAACACGGATACACAATCGTAGCAGATACACAATCGGGTCATTGGGCCTCATTCACGAACGGTTCTTAGGAACAGATTTGTACGTAAATCCTACTTACGAGGTTTTTACGAAGAAAGTGGCATTCACGAATTTTTCTCGTAACCAGAATTTCTCTTGGGCAAGTACAAATCCTCAGAGTCCTCAGGAGCACTCGTACGCATTCAGTGCCGACATGTTCACACGCCGGGGTTGTCCTCTTTGGTGAAGTTTAATAAAAATACAACATTCCAGTGATATGTCCGTCATATTGATGTATGTATTTATTTATTTAAATGTTAATGGTAATTTAGCCTATTTTTTAATTCATTTTGAAATGAAATGTGCCAACGCTTTATCAAATACATTGGAAATCATGCCGTGTATTACAGTAGTGACCCCATCCTATTCATAGGGGGCATTTCTTTATCCACAGGCCACAGAACAATGGAATATATACTGCTGCTGCAGGAGGCTGCGGGGTCCGCTCTGAGTCTCTGCACTGGTCTCTCAAATGGATCTATACGGGTCTGCACTGGTCTCTATGGATATATACGGGTCTGCACTGGTCTCTCCTATGGATCTATACGGGTCTGTACTGGTCTCTCCTATGGATCTCTACGGGTCTGCACTGGTCTCTATGGATATATACGGGTCTGCACTGGTCTCTCCTATGGATCTATACGGATCTGCACTGGGGTCTCCCTTGGATCTATACGGATCTGCACTGGGGTCTCCCATGGATCTATACGGGTCTGCACTGGTCTCTCCATACGGGTCTGCATTGGTCTCAGCGCTGGTCCGCGCTGGATCTCCTCCCAGGGTCCAAAATATTTTTAGATTAATCTCAAAACATTTTGAGATTCATTTTTAAATTAATACATAATATATTTTTAAATTTATCTCATAGCATTTTGAGATTAATCTCATCATATTTTTAGATTAATCTCAAAACATTGAGATTCATTTTTAAATTAATACATAATATATTTTTAAATTTATCTCAAAGCATTTTGAGATTAATCTCATCATATTTTTAGATTAATCTCAAAACATTTTGAGATTCATTTTTAAATTAATACATAATATATTTTTA